ACTTTCCCTCTATTTCCAGGAAGCTGTTAGTTCCTCATTCCTTTTAGCTCAGCTTAGCTTTTTAATCCTCTGCTGCTGTTTTTCATTCATCATGGCGGATAGCAGCCCTTAGGACTGAAAATTAGACAGAAATGCTCTGATATTAGAAAATGTTATTGTATTTGTGAATACTTAAGTATTTTCCAAAATTAGAACTTTAATACTTTAACTTGAGTAGATGTTTGACTGAGTAACTTTTACATGTAGTTTAGTAAGATTTGATTATGAGTATCAGTACTTTTACTTCAGTACTACTGTTGAGTACTTTGTCCACAGCTGATTGAGGTAGATTGAGCATCACCAACATGTTGCAATGAAATAAAAGGCTTTCAATTTACCAGAAACTGTCCTTACAGATCTAGGGGTCCTAGAGTTATGACCGCTCTGAGCAAGATATGACTCAAAATCAGCTCTTCAAAATAAAAAGCATACAGAAGCAGTACGGTTCAAGGATGGCTGCGATCCAGGCTCTCTGGAAGGTGCCAGGCCAAGGTACCCTCTATACGATTGGTCCAGTTCCAGGATAATTGCCCTGGGTAATCTAGACCAATAAGCTATCGCAGGTCAACAGGATCTCTGAACGCTCTCTATGAATCCTTTTATTACTGACGTCCTCCAGCAGTGCTATCTATGGACATCGCTGATTTTCTCCACCTGGTCCAGAGAGTCAATAGATCACCTGTGATTACGATCCACTCCACCTGGAACATCAACCATTGACAGGCTGTGTCACGCTCTCTCTGCCTTTGGCTACGTCAGCCGCCAATGTGCTCTTTGGTTTTACTGGTACTATCTCTGGTTTGGCTCATCACTGGTGGTGATGAAACAATATAAAGGGATCAGATCATCTTTGCATGAAGAGGAGGGCAGCTATTAAATTTCCTTCCTTTTCCAAATTGATTATCTTGTTTATAGTGTGACTTCCTCATTGGCTCTTCCATCAGGCTTTAACCTTTCATCCCTTCTTCCTGCTTTTCTTAAGAGCTGCTTTTCTTTTAAACAAAGCAAGACTAAAGGTTATAAATATCTAGATGAAATTTACAGGATCAAGTCTGTTTTATTAAAAAAATGGAATGACTGAAATATGTTTCATGATTAATAATGGAGAATGAAAATAATTCTCAGTTTCTGTCAGGGTTCTGCCCTCTGCTTTAGTTTATTTGAAGTTTCTTTGTAATATTGTGTCATTGCATTTGTTTTCTAGCTGTGTTGTGTTCTTGAGTTGCTCTCTGCCGCCCCTTTGTGCTTGTTACCTTTCCCCTCGGCTTCCTTCTAGTTCCTTCTATTCACAGCTGCTCCATATCAGGTCATTAGCCCATCCTTTGTTCTGTTCCCCATATATACACTACCTCTGCAGTTCCTCATTGCTGGTTTGTTGTTGTTTTGTGAGAGACCGCAAGCTCAATTCGTGGCAGTGGCAGCGTTGTGACAGTTCTGGTGGCTCGTTGTGACAGTTCTGGTGGCTTGTTGTGACAGTTCCGGTGGCTCGTTGTGACAGTTCCGGTGGCTNCCTACAATAAATGACACCAAGGAACGCTGGTGACGGAGGATGTGGGACAGAGAGCTCTGCTCTGATGGATGTCAGTTCCTGCTTGGTTGCTCATGATTCAATCAGTTCCTCTCAATAGAAACACGTCCAACATAGAAAGATTCCTTTATTGTGTTTCTATAATTTCATCAGTGCAACAAAAACCTAAACCGGGCGGTGAAGCGGCGAGCGGTGAGAGCGTTCACTGCTCCTCCCTCACCTCATGCTGCCATGTGACATTTGCTCCAGGATAAACAACTATTATATATTTAAGCTCATGTAGTCCTTTTCTCTAGCATCATAATAAACTAAAATAAAACCCAGTAAGGATGAGTTAGTGACCTGAGCAGCTCAGACTCGTCCTTATCATCCTTGGAAGGCGTTGATTTGACTCCTCCTTTCTTGGCCCGAGGACATCCAGACAAACTGGTGAGGAAACACAACAAATATTAGCAATTCTTTAAGCAAATAAAACGATCAACAAGATGTCATCTCATTAGATCTCATCACTATGGATAAAATAATGAGAATATTAATAGTGTCAGGGCTCCAGTCTGTGTGTTTGTTTCTTTTTGTGTTTGTCTCCCTTCCTCCACCAGGAGGTGCCTGGCTCTGGTCCGCCTCCTCACACACCTGCTGATGGTTTCCTCGTTAACGGAGTGCTCTTAAGCTGCTGATTGCCGCTACCTCGACGCCAGAGTGTTTGCCAGTTTTGGGTACTCTAGCCAAGCTGAGTTTTTTGCTGAGTAAGACTGAGTTCTTGTCAACCTGAGTTTAAACTTTTTTTTTTTTTTCTTTGCCTCTCGGCAGGAAGTCATCCTGCAAACTGGATCTTTCGGACCCTCACTTCCTGGAGGGATCAACTGAGCCTCAAACTGAGCTGGGGATTCAAACTGGAGGTTTGGATCCAGTTTCCCAGAGAGGACGTTGAGTTTACCCACTGAGCAAGGGAATCATCTCCACTACGACCCGTTCAAGTACCGCAGGAAATTTGAGTGGCAGTCAGTTTCTCCGTTCACCTACAACCAACCGTGTTCTGGGTAAACCTAATCAGACTAAGACTGGAATACAGCACACAGATTGGAGTCAAAGATTCTACAACTTCTCTGGAAACGTGAGTCAACAACCAGATCCTCTTCTCCAAATTCACGAATGAAATTTCCGACTGAGCCTGAACTAATCGCTGTGTCTTCCCCTCACCTTCCAGCTCCGACTGAGCAGAGTTCAGAGCAACACTGCACCGTACTTTATCTCTTCAATAAAACCTGTTTAACCTTTTCCCCTGGTCTCTCTGCATTTGGGTTAATCATGACAAATGGGAGGAGTGCCAACCTTCTGTGTGACGCGTAGTTTCCGGTGATGTGACCCGATCCGTCGCAGCCTGGAGTCGGACACCTGAGAAAAATATTGGCAGGCTTTCAGTTGACAGTTGTGACCTGAATCCTCACTAAACACCTTATAGTTCCTGCTGCTTTCGAATGGAAATCCATCCGCCCTTATTCTACATTCCAATAGGATTCTAGCATGGAGATGAGAGGATGGACCAAGCTGTAGCTGAACTTGTTGAAGGTGAAGAAACACAGAAAAGAATAAAAACACACATACTTCAGTTCAGCTGTGTGGGCAGCCATGAGGGTCCGAAGTGATTTATCAGCAAGAGGACAGCCTGACAGACTGGAAAATTAGAAAGAGAAAGTCAGAAAACAGCCGTGAGAACAGGAAGGAAGAGCTGGAGCAGAAACTGAGCAGAACTGAGCTGAACCCTCAGCTGATACCTGAGCTTACGACCAGCAGAGGCAACCCTTGGTTTTCTCTGGTAGTAAAAAGTTTACAAATGGCTTAAATTTATAAAATGTATTATTTTGTAATCTGGGTTTATTTATGTTTCTATGATAAACAGGTGAAATGAAAACAATCACCACAGCTGGGATTATGACTTAGACCTGTTTGTAATTATTACTTCATTATCAGGGAGGCTTAATCACACCGAATGAATCTGTATTCATGAAAGGAAACGCATACGTGTTCAAATTAATTTCACTAAACTGAAAATATTTCAATGGTTTTGTTGCATTGAAAATTCTATTTTCTCTTTTTTTTTTCTTTTTGTTTTATGGCTTAAGCCAAAGACAAATCAAACCCAGATGAACAGGTTTCACTTCAGGTTAAATTTATCTGAACCACGTTTTAAACTGAAGCAGTGGAGCCAACATGAGCTCAGTAGATTTTATAACCATGTCAGACATAATGATGGAAACGCAGAACAACATAACAACAACTATGCTAATTCCACCTGAGCTAATAGCTTCAAGCAGCAGTGATCCCAAGATTCATGTATTAGTCTTAAATTACACTTCTTATACCTGATGAAGGGGGGCCTTATTATTGATCATTAGGCTCCTGCAGCCTAAGAGGTCAAAAGGCCAACTGAACCTGGTCTGAAATCTGTGACTCTGTTTGATTGCTCTCTGGTTTACTGTTGCTGCCTTAGCCAATTTTCTGACCACTTAGCAACTCCCTTTTAAAAATTCCATCCATTTTCTGTCACGCTTATCCCTGCTGGGGTAGTGAGGAGTGCTGGTGTCTATCTCCAGCTGTCTACAGGTGAGAGGCGGGGTCCACCCTGGACAGGTCTTCAGTCCATCGCAGGGCAGCGCAGAGACAAACAGAACAAACAACCATTCACACACTCACACCTAAGGAGAATTTAGAGAAGCCAATGAACCTAACAGTCATGTTTTTGGACTGTGGGAGGAAACTGGAGTACCCGGGGAGAACCCACACATGCTCAGGGAGAACATGCAGACTTCATGCAGAAAGACCCGGGGCCGGGAATCAGACCCAGACTTTGGTGATAATGTAAAAACCTCCAAAGCTCTAAGTTGACCATCTTCAGTTAGCAGTGAGGGCTGCTGCAAGCCCTTCCCCCTCCACAGCACTGACAGTAAAGCGTTCCTGCAGTCAGAGAGAGAAGAGCCACTCCCCTCGGTTTCTCCATTGAATAGAGTCACTCATGTGCCAATCTTCCACCCAATGCCCTGAAGCAGGATGTAAGTAGAATATTTAACATAATGAGTTTTTTTCTGTGGCACCAGAATAGATCCAACCTGCATTTAATTCATACGCAGCTTCCTCCTTACTGAAGAGTTGGTATCAGTGCTTATCTGAAAATTATTTATAGAACTTTAGGTGAAAAAAAAGAAAATGGTTCAAAGCATTAGGTTCAA